TGCTGATGTATGGGGATTCTGATTTCATCGTTTTCTCTAAAGCTGTTATTGTAGGGATTGTATGAATGGATTTCATAACTTTCAATCGAACTGTCGAAATGCGGTAATTCAGTAATCTGTAGCATATTCATACTTTAAAACCCAGAGCTTTAAGAAAATCTTTATTTGCTTTAGTCAGTTTCTTAATTTTTGTATTACGTCTTTGCGCCTTAGCGGTCGCAGAAGAAATAAACCGATTTATTTTTACTGGAGTGCTTTTATAATATACAATCATTTTGTTTTTCTTAAGTGCAGACGTAACTGAATATATTCTTCTTCGAAGTTAATACAGTGACCAAATTGATCAACAATTTTAACAGATATGGATGAAATTATATTTTTGTTCACTGGAAAGTAAATAACGTTTTGTGGTATCTCTATATAACCATGACTTAGAGCAGTATCTGATACAAATTCATGAATAAAATGTGTTGGTAATCCATTGCAGTATGAACCGTACACAAGATCACATTCAATTTTGATCACAGACAGATTACTAGTTTTAACTGAAATATCTGGTCTTGAATTAAATACTGAAAAGTATAGTAAACCGCACTCGTATTGATCAGATAAATGAAGAGGTGGTTGAAAATACGAGACCAGTTCTGATTTATTTCCAGAGATGGTAACCGTAGTAGACATGCTTATATACTGGACTGTTATGAAAGATCCTGTTCATTTTATTGCTTCGTTGACCAAAAATTGTTTAAGAAGTGTAAACAAAGATGTCCACAGTTGAAGAGGTGATCACGTTGTATATTGTCATAATTATATTGAATGTTAGAACCTACATATTTTACAAATTCCTTTGGTGGCTTAAGATTCCCGTAACTGTCGAAATACTCAACATAATCATTATATTTTGCATAGGCTACCCAATGAGAACCAGGATTTTTAGAACTATCTAAATTAATAACTCCACATTCTTTTTTATATGGATATTTAGGGAGCTCATCTCTCATAAAGACACCTCTAAAATAAGGAATTCTATTTCCATACTTTAAAATGTCAAAGTTAGTTAAGGCCCGTTTGGGTAGCCGATATCTTAGTTTTTTTCTTTTAATACGAAAATTCCAAGACCACTTTTATGTGGTTTAAGGTGTAGTCCTTTCCCAATACATAGAGCTTCCATTTTTTCATTATGTCTCCTCGATTCCTCATACAGCTTTTTAGCCATTTTAAATTCATTTATGGTTTTAGCAATACCAGCTGCACCGCCTGCTAAAGCTCCCGCCGCTGATAATCCCGCAAAAATAGGAATCAGAGGTAGTACTCCCCCAGTTTTTGGAATAGGAATAACGCGAGGGAGCTTAATCGATGAATCATTAGCCAATTCTCTGGTAGCGGCAATAGCTAATTCTATAGCCATTTTCTTGGTCTTAGGTTTTAATTTTTTTATGTGTCTTTTTGCTTTTGTAATAACAGTTTTTAATTTGCTTTTTAATCCTTTTCCCGATGTAACTTTGGGAGAACGCTTTTTGATCAAACCAGAACCAGTTTTAATTTTTGCCGACATAGCCTTACTTACTAAGCGTGCCGCGAGTTTTTCGCCTGTACTGGCATCGGAAGCAACCGCTCGTTGTTTTGCCATTTTTAACAAAATTAAATCAGCCTTATGTCGATCCTTTAAGTCTGATGACTTGTGATATGCAATATCGTGATCTTTGCAATATTCGTCCAACTTATTTATACCGTTATCTCTTTGTGCAAGTCTTTTTATTAATTTAGTACCAGGACCACAGTAATTATATCCTGGTAAATGTAATTCAAATGGTAAATGATTAATAAGCCAATTGAGAAGACTGCTCTCTCCAAAACACATTATAAGACTGATGGTTCCGGTTTGAATAATTTAATAAATAGTTATGTGATTCGAGTTTGTTGTTAATATTATTTTATTTATAATATAACATTCGATTTATCAATCCAACTGCTTTCAGCTGAAGACAAACCTAGCCATTTTACTAAAACCCTACTACCTTTTCTTCTGAGAACTTTCTCGACTAGATATACATTGGGATGTTTTGTTTTTTGAAGTTCTTGTGTATAAAATGCACCTAAAATAGGCTGACCTCTGATAGTATCTTCGATTAAGTAAGTTATAGGAGTTGTATTTTGTATTTTACGGATTTTAAATATTTCTGTTGACCAGTTGGGAGTATAACCTTTTTCAAATGTTCCTTTGTATTTACTGATACGCACATAATCACCTACTTTGTACTTGGTTTTTAAATTATCATTTTTTAGCAACTTTAAATACCTTTCTAATATCGTTTTTTTATTATTATTGTCCACATTAGCAGGGATTTCATTAATAGTGCGATGGTGAGTGTGATTGTATTTGTAAATAACATCATTGAGGGTATTATTTACCCAATTGTAATTGCCTTTTAAACTAAATTCCTTATAGACTTTGGATTTCAATGTCCTGATAAATCGTTCAACTATTGAAGCCTTTTTTGTTGAGAAGGTTGAATAATGGTTAATATGATACGATGTCATAAGCTTCTGAAATTTGTTATTATAAAATTCTGTTCCATTATCCGTTTGCAGATTTTTAGGAACACGCCCTTTATCCAACAAAGTTTTGAAAGAGTTATACACATTTTCTTTGGTTTTACTTCTCATAGGAAAGGCCCAAGCATATTTCGAAAATGTATCAATAACGGCAAGAATATATCTGTAATTTTTATTTTCTTTTGAAATTGATTGCATATCAATTAAGTCTGCTTGCCACAAGTCATCTATATCTTTCATGATAACATGTCTTCGTGGATAGTTCACCCTCGCATTTTTATGAATTTCATTTACCACGTCAACTTTGCTCATGTTCACAATTCAGTATACTTGTCTTGAACTCAGCTATTATACTGAATAAAAATCATATTATTATGACTATTTATTATTTAATTATATCAGCTTCTTTTAATTCTTCGATTATTGATAAAATTTCATTATCATGGTTTGTATTACCAGCATCACGGGAAGCAATTAATAGTTGCAATCTGTCAACCAATTCGTTAGGATCATCCCAATATACTAAGTCAGTATTATTTTTGTATTTCTTTAGCGTTGGTAAGCTTCCTCCAAATTTAGTAACAATATTACTGTTTAACGATTCAGAAAACAATGGTCTAATTATTTCACGATATTTTATACCTTTATCGCCTCTAATTTGTCCATTAGGATTGAAATCTCTCTTATGTGCATTTGTATAATGCAACATATCCTTGTAGACAAGTTTATCTTTGCTCGATATTAGTTTCAAATCTGGTTTTCTTCGAAGTAAAAGTTCTTTTAAACCAGGGGTTAAATTGTAGGTTTTATCACCAATTTTAATTAAAATGACATTATCATCATTCACACTATCTATTTTAGAAAATGAAACTATTGAATTACCCATTAGTAATTTTTTGTTTGCACTTCTTATTCCAAATGGTATATTTACCCCTTCATAAATATCATGGATATCATAACCCTCTAATGATATTTCTAAATCTTCTAATAATTCCTTCTGGGGAGACTTTTTAACGAACTGCACAGAATTCGGTTCTGGATTGTAGCATTCTTCAAACTTTGTAGATGAGCTAGTATTACTGTCACTCAATTGCATGTCTTCTAAATTAGAGTGTGTATTTTCTAAATTTTGTGTTTTTTCTATTGTTTTATTCGAATCAACTAGGGTTTTAAGAGGATCTGTGACAGGTTTTAGCATTTTATCAATTGACAAATTCATTGAGTGTTCCTGATCCTTCATTTGTTTTATTTTATTCTTTATGGAGTTTATAGACTTCATTAATTCTATTTTAATATTTTTCTCCATGTTATAATTATCTATTATAACAACTGCATTCAGCTAAGGAACAAATTATACTGAATTTGATTTTATATGGAAATTACTTATATGCACATGTAAACAGTCAGTCAAATTTAAAAAACATGTCAAAATTCTGTCTGTACCTTCCATTATTTAATGACGATTCTTTATTAATCAGCAGAAAATTATAAGGTTTACTCCAAACAGTTTGACAAATATTTCTGAACTCTTTCCATTGTAAATCAGAACTAACATGCTCTTCATAAATATGCTTTAAATTTACATCATCTTGTTTGAATATAATAAGAAAATTAACATTGTCACGTAACAGTTGCTTTGGAATTTTAGAATAGGTTTGAGACAAATAGAAACAATCTATTTGTTTATGCCTACCCATACAGAAATAATTGCGAATATTTATTTGATTTTCACAAGCAACATCATCAAATATAAATACAGAATTTGTTAAGGCTTCACTCGGAGAAATTACATCGTTGTTATTATTGAACTCGTAAAAGTTAATCTGTGGTACCCTTTTTAATACTTCGATCAAGAAACGGTATTTTGGTTGAAAAGAAGTTTTAGAGTAAAGATAAAGATTTTTAAATTTGAGCCCATTTTCATGCAGCAGCAAACTGATCATAACATTCGTTTTACCACAGTTTGATGGGCCACATATTATACAGCGAATAGTATTTGGCAGTAAAGCGCTATGTCTGATGTGGTGAACAGAGTCACTTAATCTTATATTATTAACATTGAGAGATATGGGTTGTTTGATCAACTTCATATTGTATATTAATCTTATTTCCACCTAACGTACACTTATATACTCGTTACTACATGAACCTCATGATAGAATAAGCATGAACTTACAATTTGATGATAACGTTTAGGAAGTTGAATACGTTTGAATAAAAGTCAATTTGTTTAAGAAATATCATTTTATTATAAATGTTCATCATAGCGTATACATTCACTCATAATAGTAGCGTAATATATTCATTTATAGTACATTACTTATTCTTAAAGAATTATTCATACATCATTTCTATACACATTACATACATGAAAGTAGCATAAATTTATTTATAATTATCACTAATAAAATTAATAGATACTAATACGTGTACATAGTTATAGATTACGTATCACTGGAATAATCTAAAAACATAGAATCACAATGACCCCAGGGTAATGTGTGAATTTGATCTTGTAGTACTTGAATTTTATCATCGTTTCTATCTAAAACTTGTTTATCTACTTGTTGGGAGTATAAAACATGTTTAATTGATTTTATCATATTCATTTTACATCTTAGCGCTTTATCGGTCAACAGAACATTGCTGTAATCATCCAATTTTAGATTATTTGTGATAGATTTGGAAACACCTTTAGCTTTTTTAATTTGAGTTTTGAGACTGTTTATAAAATATAATTTAGCTCGTAGACCGACAAATTCTATAATTAAATCATCACCCATCTCATGTTTCCATAATCCGGGAACTTTTGCATTAGTTTGTGGTATGTGATAAGGATTATTGACTGCAAAATTACTAGTATCAAACTTGGTAAGATCATCATGCATATCTTGATAAAAATCAGTTGTATATATTAAATATAACAAACTATCAGTATCCGTATAGCATAACTTTGCATTATTTCCATATTTTTTCTTTATAAAATCATAATGAAACTGGTATAAGTGTTGCTTAGAATATTCCAAAACTGTGAATCCGATATAAATCGGTCTATCTAAAACAACTTTTTCATGATATAATTCTACAGCTATAAAATTATCTGAAAATATTGATACACTTTTTAAGTTTGGTTTAGCTAACAATTTTTCAGCATCAAGATGTTTGTTTGTTTTATTGGTGGTATCTCTCCATTTTGTTACTAATTTAACATCAGCTTGCTTGCGCTTATTTTCAATAGTTTTTCCGAAAATCGCATTATTCAATAATTTAAAAAAGTCCTTTTCAAATACAGTTTTGGAATTTTGACGAAGTCTAGTATTGAGATCGATGTAATTTTTGAGAAAACATTCTTGTCTAAAGCTAAGTATGCAATGAATCTTTTTTAAAATCAGACCATTCTTTAAACACTCTTTTAAGTGCACGTAATGAATCACATAATGATGCTTATCATAAAGATTCGCAATCAATTTTGCTGATTTTCCATAAGGTGGTACTAATTTTTCAACTGCAAAAGGTAAATCTTTATGTTTGTTATGTAAATAGTTCGGATAAATCAGGTCAACTTCCAAAATATAACCGTAATCATTATCATCAGAGATAGTAATTACATCAAAGTTGCTAATTTCTTCGAGAGTTAAAAATTTGAATTCTGAGATAGGAAGTTTCTTCATCATAGCATAGCCATACAGATTATTACAATCAAGGTATATTAAATAACTGCTTGGTTCTGACTCGTTAAAATGTGGTAAGTATTTATTATTTGCTTCAGCATGACGTCGAGAACACTGTGCCAGCCCACCGCGAATTCCTTTTTCTAATAACTCATACATTTGCAAGTCACTTATTAACTCCAGTTCAGTGTCAGTATATAGAAGCATTGCATCCCAGCTTAAGCTCGGTGAAGTAACATAATAAGCTGGATCTAACTTATAGTAATGTAAGCTTGTTTCTCTAAACTTTTCGAATATGTCACATAGTAAAAGCACATCACATTTTATGTATAAATCTGTATATTCACCAAGAGATTTAACGTTAAAAACATTCCAAACTGTTTGAGCGTGTAAATATTCTTCATCAGTTATATGCTTCTTACACAAACTGTTATAGAAATGATACTTTGATGGAAGTTGCGTCTCATCAAATTTGGACCAAGAATCGATATAATCATAAGGATAAACACCCTTTTTTCTCATTAGATCAAATTTTCTTTTATCGCTAAACTCTCTTGATAAGTTTAAAAAATCGTTTTCTGATAAACTATCACTCAATGCATCTAAGCTAGAACTAAGAAATTGAAAAGAATCAATAAATTTTATCTGAATAGGATGATTATATTTTTCTGTCTTTATTACTTTCGTTATTGAGAGGTATTTTTCTTTAGTTTTCGGTATTATGTTAATAGTACCTTCATATTTTGCTAACTCTTGAATGAATAAATGTGAGTCATACCCAGACAAATTATGAAAGACGACAGGAATGAATGAACAAACTCTATACATCAAATTACAATGGGAGTGCGCTGCCCCACGGTACTCTGAGGTAATATGATCATGATCTCGGACTTTGTCATTAAGCAATAGTTGTTTACATATGTGACATGTATTCGAGTTCTGATAATTCATCTCTTGCTCAGTTGTTAATGGAGTCATAGACTTTTTATTACTTAAAATTCTATGTATACGTTTAGCGTCTCTTATTAAATATTTAACAAATACTTCCGCACAATCTGTACCTCTGTATGAGACATACTTATTTAATTCATTATTATGTGCACAACAGATATAATAAGCAAAACATGAAGGTTGATGTGTCTTTAGTTTCCGAGTGTTTAAAGAGTTACTTTCATTACAGTCAATTAACATACATTCGAAGTCAGCATAAATGATGAAATTAATTTTCTGCTGCCTCTCAAAATGTTTAAATTTCAATATAGATTTTTTTTCAGGCAAAATAGACAATATCTTAGAACAGTTATGAGACTTGTATCTTGTTTCGCTACTGAAAAATTGTAAACATGCATCACATAAATAAACTTTACCTTTATAATGAGTTACTTGACGTCGTACAAGACGTATAAGATCTTTAATTAAACAATAGTGTCCAACAGTATTGTTTTCAATATATAGTAAATTAAAATGATGTTCTCTCTTATGCTTCGATGCATAAAGAGGTCCAGTTACAATATTATTTTGCAAACCATATATATTTACACTCATATTTGGATTGTTTTTCTCAAACTGTTTAATATCATTCATTGTGGGTGGGAATGACATTCCTTCTATATTTAAAACCGAAGAATAATGAGGATATGAACTTGTTCTGCACACGTTATTTTTCGCTGGATATAATCCAGCAACTATACTCCATAGAAAACAACAATCATCTTCATTTTTTATATTAATGCAACTTCTAGAATGTTTAATAGCTGGTGGTAAATCTATATAAGATCCACCCCTCATAGGTGAATACTTATTTATATTAATTTCGAGATGACTCATAGAAACAAACGTCCAACCAGATTGACAGTGTTGGAACTCTGTTAATTTCTCGTTCAATGCATTCATTACTTTAGTTAATAATTCATTCAAATCAGTGTTTTTATAAATAATATTGTACTTGGTATTAAATGACTTTAGCTGCTTTTCTTCTAAAGTTGGTAGCATAAAATATGCAAACAATTCGAAATTAACTTTTATGCAGTTGTGTTTATTTAGTGACATAGTAATCAATTCTACTATATTGGTTTGGTGATCACTCAGGAACGCCTCTAGACCGAGGTACTCGTCTTCCTGAGTGACATTCAATCTGTATGTCATTATTCTGTTATTGAATGCTGTCGCAATAATATGAATATTTGCGAACTTGGTATTCAATAAACAGTTTGCTTTGTGTATATTAGTTCTCATATGATAGGAATACTGATTTTCTGGAATTAATATTTACATAAGACTGCCTCGTTGGCCGAGTGGTCGCAAGTGCGACTGCCAGGCAAGGGGTCTCGGGTTCGATTCCGGGTCGGGCAAAGTATTACTGGGTTTTAAAAAAAATCTCAGTAGTAGCACGGAGTCTGGAATTGTGTCGGTATATGGCAATAGGCTCACCCCTATTACATTGGACTCATAACATAAATAGTGAAAAGTGGGTGTTACATTATACAGTGGCATAATGTGCACCTCTGCCTACCCCTTCGGAGATAAAAGGCGTGATGTTATGTAATATTTTACATTTGTCACAGTTTATTTTTCTAGATCTTGACTTTTAGTGAGGTGTGAAGAAGCTGTGAAACAAAGAAAAAAAAACAATGATAATAATTATAAAATATAATGAAATAACCAAAAATACATTGAATTACCCTATGAATTAAAGCTAATGCTGGGATAAATATTATTATATTGTATATAGAGATATACCTATGCATCATGTACCTAATATAAAAATGTGTACAGGAATAATAAATTGATTAACAATAGGTTAAATCGTTAAGTTTCGTAGGATCCTAAGTACGACAGCGAACAATTTTTAAAATCTTTTTGGGTCGCTAAGATGAACTCTTTTATATGGCGCCAAGACTCCTTATCTTCATCCAGTTTAGTTTTTATAGTAGTAATAGCATGCCGCCATCTATTTATCGGCATTTTTTTTTATTTCTTCGACATCATATATTTTTAACTCGACGTAATATTTTCCTTCTTTCGTCTCACTAATTTGCCGTGAATAGCCCTTCCGCAGCCTTTTCGTAAAATAAGAATGTATAGGTGGGACATTACCCGCTTTGGTAGAGCTCATAGCACATTCATTCTTGTCAACGTCTTCGTCACCGAATAAGTCATTGGCCGTAACGCATGCTGGCGGAGAAATTGGGGAGATAGTTGGTTTGGACTTTTTCGAACTAGATCCTTCACTCGACTTGCCGGGTCGCTCTCTCTTCATTTTCTTGTCCTCCGACTTCCCCTTCGGCTTCACCTCCGCTTCAGAATCGTCGCTGGAGAGAAAGAGATCGTTGGCGAGTAGCTTCGACCTGTGTATAAATAATATATTATTAGTGCACTGTACTCGATAATTTTATTTTCTACATATGTAGAGGTATAGGTGTTTATGTTAATTAGGTTTCGTTATATCTCTAAATATTTCTATGTATAAATCTAATATTAAAAATTATAAAAATATATGAACAACAAATACAATGCTTGGTATAGGTACAGACACATAGTCCTAACGTCAAACTAGAATATTCTATCTATGCTACAGAGATAAGACATAATGATCAGATTAACTAAATGTATGTCACAGTTAGACTTGAAACGTTACGAGAATGGAACCCTCGACTGTCCAATCTTTCATAAGCAGTCATAATTATCATTGTGTTATAGTTGAAATAAATTTAAATAATTATGTAACTGGTACTTAGTTTTCATTTTTTTTCAACACAAATTAGCATATTTGATCTGTGCAGGAATCGAACCTGCATCACAATATTGGCGGTCAACATTCGAATACTTGAATATATCAACTAATACATTGCTCTGACCATTTAATAGTTATTTAAATGATTATGAATAGATACTTACATTCTTGATAGGTGTTTAGACAGGTAGCTTGATCAGGAGCTCAGAGAGTTGATCCGTTGTAGAGAGGATTCGTTCCAGAGAGGAATTGTACCGGAGACTAATTTGCTATGCGTTTTTATAGGTCTAAAATCACATCATTCAATCCAAATTTGTAAAACTGCATACTTGCAAAAATTGCATACACGAGCGTACAAATCTGAGCGGTTAAGGTTTTAATCTTAGAGTTATTATATAAGATGGCTTTTACCCATGGTCCGCGTTAGTTTTAAATTATCCCACGGGAACTTAATACTGAGATAAAAAATCCTATGTCATATTCCAGGTTATGGTCTATCTGTATGCCAAGTTTCATCCAAATCGGTTAAGTAGTTTTAGAGTTTATTCGTTACAAACATACAAAAATACAAATCTTTCCTCTATATAATATTAGTGTAGATTATTATATGTATAGATAGATAATGTAGACGAATGATGAATATAGATACTTACTTAAATAAACAATAGGGGAATTTCATATTTAGAAAAAAAGTTTAAAGATTGTTGTTTTTTACTGAATGTTTTTGACGTCAGGCGACGGTACAAACGCTGCGGTTTGCACGCTCGCATGCAACTTCTAGACATATGGAGAAAGAGAGATATGACTAGTCAGAATCTCATATTTCGGTATGTAAAAATAAGCTTGTATTTATCTTATAATTTTTTCACAATTACTATGATAACTTATTTGTTTTTATGAAATATAGAAGAATTTGAACTATTGTATGAAAACGTAAAACGTGTCGATGCTCACTAATTGTAGGTACCTACTAATAATCAGATCGATTAAGTAAATCTTGTGTTTTATTCCAGCATAGAGGTACATCTAAGCTATTAAAAAAATAAATTAATAACAAAAAACTATTTATTTTTAATCTTTATAATAATAATAGCAGGTAAAACCAGGCTTAATAACTGTATGTCGATATTGATCAATTGTTATGTATGATCCGTCTCCTTAAAAAGAATTCAGCTACGTTGCAAATTCGCTAACGCTGATATACTATTAACATACCATGATTTTGCTTGCCAAATCATTTTAATAAAATGTATGAAAACAATAACCGTGAACAAAAATACAGTAGTATTATTTTGTCGATATATATTTTCGATAAACAATAAAATGTTAGGCGTCGGAATGTCTGCGGTTTCAATTTCACCATACCATTTTTGTATAGATATTAACATCTAACAAAATGTACGATATTGAACTCTATGTATTAAAAGAAGTAATTAAATTTAAAAATATAAAAGGGGGATATAATAAATTGAAATCCATTTCATCTTTGAATCTGATGGTGAAGACTGAATCAGACTGATATAATTGTGGAATGTCGGTAAGTGTTACTTTAATACATTCACTAACAATTTAAAAATGTATTAATATTAACAATAGTAGTAAGTAGCATCATAGCATTAATTATTTCCACATAAGCCTTTATTTCAATCGTAACGTTTGTAGTGTAACTTAAATTAATATTGTATTGTTATTTCAGGACTCGGAGGATCTCTTCAATTTTGTTCCCATGAATCAACCAGTCCAACAAACCACTGGACAGAAGACGCTGGGTCTCGCTCGCAAGAGATCAAAAACAGATCAGACATTCTATCAATTTATAAAGAAGCCTGTTTCTCGTGGAACGAAAATAATAAAAATAGAAATCTATGATACAGACAGTTTTCAAAAATCCGAACAGTCGATGTGTAATTGTGAGGCTGATGTGTGTGTTCAACATGTTGTGAAAACTATATTATACGATGATATATATACCAGTACGAGAGAATTAATTGCCAAAATTCAGGATGACATCGAACCAAGAGTATAGATTTAATAATTTAAAATGTATAGACGTCACCGTTTACCACTTATGTATGTTTAATTTTCTAAAAAAGTTTATGTAAATAATTATAAGTGTACCTATGTAGTAATGAATAGATATCAACTATAAAAATATCAAAGATTGTATATTTAAAATAAAATAATTCAAAATAACATTTTTTTATTAACTCATTCTTATACATGTAATAAATAGCCACTGCACTACGTACCTAGGTATATAAGGCAGCGCAATGGACAATAGCGAGAGCATTCCATATTATCATATTCAATAAGTATGATCTTTTTATGATTATTACTGCCATGCCTGCTATCTTAAAATAATATGTGAATAGAAGATTAAAATGTGGAAAATAGGGTATCCAGATCTCTGATCTGGATGCCCTATTTTCCAACTACTGAGGGGGCCACTACTAACTAATTAGTGATGTTAGTACAGACTAAACATACATGTAACAGTTATAAAAACGCTGCTCTTGTGCTAACAAGAATTTAAGAACAAGCAAACCAAAATATAAAATAATAAAATCTAAGGTTTTGGTAAATAGCACTTAGGGGCTGATTCTGGACATCATGCATGGCCAATAACCAGTATACAGTACTTTACGTTATGCTGTTTAAACTTATTTCCAGTATCGTATCCGTATCGTAAGCTGCAAATAGATTTCAACAGTAATTTAAAATGCATAAATCTCCTTGGCTCAGTCGGTCCGCTAACTGGATTCCCCCGGGTTCCAACTTTCTGTTTTATGAATAGGTAATCGTTTGCGATACGATATCTGGTGGACAGAGAACGTATTTATCTCTGTCCAGAATAATAATGTTATTATGATAGCTTTCAGGATATAGATAGACTTCTAGATGTGATAGGGCAGTTCATTTGTCGTGATAGTATTTGGAATTCATAGAAAATGGCCAGGTGTGAAGCCTGGAGTATCTTTAGGCAACGTGCTTGTTTTGCCGGGCGCATGAATGTGATGAACGTTAAAGAAGTATCTAAGGGGAAGGGGAAAGCGTGCTCTGTGGTTTCAGCCCACACTTATGATCAAAATGTTTTCTTAATTACTTCAAAACACTCGATTAAGAATACACAAAGAAATTCCAAATTAGAAAACTTTATTTCAATGAAATCCATTTAAAATCTTCTTTGACTTATGCAAATAGAACTGAAATGTAAACAGACCTCCCTCGCTAAGATTTTGTTTCTGATGCAAAGCACTCTATAAACTCTACAAAATGGCGGTAAACGGATCCTAAAAAATCACTTAAAAAGAAATGGAGTGACACCTATCACCCCCATTCGTCACGCCGTGTCAACAGTCGTGTGAAACATCCCCTATTTTACATTTAATTGCATTTCTTTGTCGATCTCCCTGTTAATCTGGATGCACCCTTATCCTTTGCAAACTCCAGTTTATTTTGGTCTCCCACCCTCCTCTCTGAGTACAACCTCCGCGGGTATAACAGGGGAAGTTAAGGGTTTTGGAAGGGGTCTTGGTATATTGGTAATAGTCTAGACGATGTTTGATATCGAAAAGTATGTGTTAGCCAATGTTTGCGGACACACTCAGTTCGATTGCGTGTGCTTAATTTTTCGTGAAGTAGTGTTGCTATTAAATCTGGCGATGCCGGAAGATATTTATTTAGGTGGTTCTTGATTTTTCTCCTCTAAATAGGAAGACTTTTTAGGAAGGGTATATCACAGTGCGTTTTATTCTATTTTTGTCTGTACCATGAAATGTAAACCGTCTAAAAACTTTGTTTAATCTCTTGTCGAACAATTTAGTTATCGTATTAACTTTCACGTGACCAGAGGGCTAGCTTCGGACAGAAAATAAGCATTGCTATTCATCTAGGCACTGCTGAGAACGTTCCTTGGTGATAGTGATGCGGACGATTACTTGATCGCTTATTAATTAAGGGCATTATTTTTAGTTTCTTATGTTCTATGGTTTAGTTGTATGGTATGGTTTAGACTACACGGTTGGTGCGGTGGCTGAGCAACTGGCCGCCGTGCAACGTGTCGCGGGTTCGATTCCCGCACGGAACAACTCTTTGTGTGATCCACAGATTGTTGTTCCGGGTCTGGGTATCATGTGTATATGAACTTGTATGTTTGTAAACGCACCCACGACACAGGAGAAAATCCTAGTGTGGGGCAACGTTTTTTTAAAAACAAGAAAAAAACAAGAAACAAGTTGTAGTTAATTATAAGTTGCAAATATTTATGTAGTTATATATCATTTATTTATTAATGACATAACATAACTTCACGCCTTTTATCCCCGAAGAGGTAGGCAGAGGTGTACATTACGGCACTTAATGCCACTGTACAATGTAATACCCACTTTTCACTATTTATGTCATGAGTCCCATGTAATAGGGGGTGAGCCTATTGCCATATACCGGGCACAGACTCCGTGCTACTTCTGAGAATTTTAAAAACCCAGTAGTACTTTGCCCGACCCGGGAATTGAACCCGAGACCCCTTGCCCGGTAGTCACACTTGCGTCAACTCGG